CCTGGATCTGAGTAGATCGTTTGCTCCGTTGAAGAACCTTTTCATAGTGATAGGCATGATACTGCAAGACAAACAATACACAGCTAGATTAGGGTTTAGGGTTTAGGGTTTAGGGTTTGGGGTTTATGATGCAGCAGAAGAACAGCCTCCTAGCCGAGATGCTGATGCTTCGGAAGCAACAAGCACCAACGCCTCCTTCTTGTCCTGATTTAACCTGCCTATACACCCGAATAAACAAACTAAAATGTTTTTCATGATAAACAAATGAAGTTCAAACTCTTAAAACACTCACCTGTAATATTATGTCTTCAAACGCCTCGCGATCGATCTCCCCATCTCGGTCTACGTCAAAGTTTTTAAACACTGAAAAGAACAAAAAAAACAAAACCCTAAACCCTAATTGAAGAGAATATAATTCTAATTGGTGGATTTAACCTTCTTATGGAGGATTGCACAGACATCTTAAACCCTAAACCCTAAACCCAAAACCCTACACCCTAAACCACAACCCTTAAACCCAAAACCCTAAACCCCAGACCACAACTCTTAAACCATAAACATTAAACCTTAAACCCTTAAACCCTAAACTCTAAACCCTAGATACAGCGGCTACCAACTTGTATTAGACGCTTTAAGCTCATGAAGCAGCACAACGGCATACAAACCTGCTGAATACCACTGGCTATCAGGTAGAGGGACAACAGGCTGCAGCCTTTTAAAGACAAACTCCAGGCCCTGCAACCGAAACATCATATATTAAATATTATATTAGCAGAAGAATAGCAACCTGAAGCGCAGCAAGAAGCAGCTCAAGTGCAGCAGCACTGCAGCAAATACTGAAATTCTGCTGCATTAGCCTTATTGAGGAAAAACATCTCCTCAGAACAAGCATATCTTGCTGCAGCAACTTTGTGTTGAATTAAACGCACTGTACCGGCTTGCATGAGATTAACATTGTTCCTCCCGTGGCTGATGCTGCTGAATGCTTCATCAATGAGGCGCTGCAGCATTTTGTCGTTGTCTTCTACGAACGGGTCCGCTATGCGCAGTTTCTTGATGCTGAAGGCAGACATTTTCTATCAAAAAATATGCCTCCTCTGTCCTGCTAAACTGATTAAACAAACTGAAACTGCATATATAATTGAAGTGGCGGTCGGCCATCAAAGTCTACGGGGGTTGTGCTGCTGATGCCCCTGCAGATTCTTTAGAGCCCTTGATTCGCTCAAGCTATTTTAGTAGCAGGGAGACCTTCTTCTCTCTGCTTTTGGCTGCTCCCGTGTTGGTGACCAGTGGTGTTTGGTAGGGGACCACTGGTCATCCACAAGGGGGGTCTCAAGTCAGGCCGCCACAACGGCTACGTAGATGAAGCTGAAGACTCATGCGTTGTGAAGGAGCTCTGCAACTCTGAGGGAGCCGCTACACCCCAGAGAGGAGCACCGCTGCACTCGGGGTGTTGCGGAGGTCGCAGGGGAAGCGAACGCCGACACCTGCTGGGGCGACCGCCGCATCCTAGTAGGAAATACTCGAAGTTCTTGAGGTGTGAGACAAATAATATGCTGAATTATACCATATATTGCCAATTATCCCAGTAAGATAGTACGAAACAATGGGGAAGGTTGTTGACCGGTGAAACGATCGCGCAGCCGTAGCAGCCGCAGTGCAGAAATTCAACGTGCGCAGGGGCGCCAATCGTCTTTATAAGGTTAAAAGAGAATAAAATACAGCCAAAGTGTTTTTTATTTAACAATTCTGCTGATTTGAAAACTGTTGAATCGTATACTGTTGTCATGCGAACGCGTAAACCGGCGATGACCACGCAGCACTTCGGGACCCACGATCGTCCAGCTTCCGCATGCAAACACGAGAACGTGAGGTTTCTGAGAGATTCTTCAGTTGTTTTTTGAAATATATTATTGTAAAATCAAGCATTATGTTTTAACTTTGACGATTTCTAAAGTGGCCGTTCGAGGCTCCGCCCGGTGCGGTGTATGCGCACACTAGAAACCGGCAGTTTCCCAACTTGAAACCAGTGGATTCTTTGCATTTTCGTGTTAAAATACGTGCACTTTCCCTTTATAGCTAAATACAAAACCTCATTTTTAGCGTTATATCGGAAGAACAGAGCCGTCGACTGCAATTTCCACCCCCGCCCCCCGCTCCCCCCCGTCCGTCAAATCCTTCGCGTTTCACTGTTGCAAACGCAGTTCTTCTCACGGTTTGTATTTTAATTGGAGCAGGTGGCCTCCCCTTCTCTCAGGTTCTTCACCTCAGGTTTAAAAAAAAAGACAACAAGAGAACCATGCAGGTTAGCGGCAAAGGGAGCAGCTGTTCTTCCACAACCCTGTGCGCACATTTTACTGTCTGCTATGGCATGCATAGCAGAGCCAATGCATGCATGCAATTTGATTTCATCATCGCGGTAAGGGTGGCTGCTGTGCTAATAGCGAAGCCTGAAGCTGTCTCTCAATGCAGGCTTACGATCCTCATTCCCCACAAATGTACAAGCAAATATATATATACGTATATAAATGCTGCTTGGCGATCTCCCCTATATGCGTCTTGCACTTGTTAAGAGGAGAAGGGGAGTTTTCTGTTACATATCCATCCAGTACACCGCAAAAGGCGTAGAATATATACTATAGAATGGATTGACAATATATAAATATTCTATATATATATATATACATTATATATATTATACATATATTGTAGATTTTGTGTCATACACAATAAATATAGAAAATTCATACTGCATGTACAATATACAATATGCTTACATAGTATATTTTGTGTATATATTTACCTTCATACATCAGAACGATATACAATGAACTATATATAAAGGATTATTTATACTATACATAAATATATATTATATGTATTATACATTATTATATTATAGTTTATACTTGTGCTTTAGCAGGCAGCTGCTGCGTTTCTGGCTTGCGCTTTCTGCGCCTTCTTCAGGTGTAAACAGCTGAAAGCCACGACTTTTAAACGCAAAGGAACTATTGTTTTGTTTTTTGCTTCGTTTTGTATTTAAATTCAAAAATAAATACTGAATTATTACTGAGTTTATATGTGAATGCATGCAACAGCAGCCAAGCGGGTGCTCTGCGGCATCCTCCTCCACGTGTTGATTCCTTATAAACACTTTATAAATAAATTGATTAGTTTCCTTTTAATTAATTAAGGGGTTTCTTACTACTGTGTTTATTGCACAGACACGATTTAAACACACTCTACACCGCCGCATGCAGCAGAATGCTGCGCTTGAATAAAAGGCCCAACTAAGAATATCCCTATGAATTTAAAAGCCTTTAACCACACAAATACCAAATAAGGGGCCACTGAATAATAATAAGGCAATATTTCAAATAATAATAAACACAGAAAACCCTCACATAGTTCAGTGATATTTTCGCTGATAAGCGCAAAAAGGTGAAGATTTATTCAGTGGTATTCTATTCGATAATCATATGAATGTATTTAATTAAAAATGTTATTTATTCTAGATTTATTTTTTTCTCATTGAAATTCCCCTACATATAACTCGAGCAGTTTGCACAGTAGGGGCTGGACCATGATTTTGGAGTTGAGTTTTTAACGGAAGACAGAGGTTATTTCACCAACTAACTCAGTGAAATAATAAATAATGTTAAAATAAATAACAATTTGAATATAAATGAAGAAAGAAAGAAGATTCAGATATGCATGTTTCGTAGGGCGTTCAAAGCCCCAAGGACCCAGCGCATGCAACGCAACGTTGGCTGCGAAGAAGATGAGATGGATGCTCTCTTCTTTTTCTCTGTGGGTATTTCTTTAAAAAATAATGTAAATTCATTACCATTAAATCAATCAATAAACCCTTTTCTTTCTTTCTGATCTCAACAGCAGCGCTGCGAACCCCTTTGATGTGCAGGGAGGAGCTCGCAGCCTTTTGCGGCTTTCGCTAGCGCGATCTTCATATTTGTTCAAAGGAATTTCTTTTTTTAATTATGTATAATTCATTTTAAAACCTCAAGAGCCTCAAAATACAGCTGAAGGGCCGCCGGTAGGCGCCCTGAAGGGGGGCTTGTGGTGCGCTCCTACGTTGGAGTGTACAATATACGAGAAACGTTGAAGTGTCGATACACCTGAAATATAAAGGTTAATACAGGATAGGAACGATGGCAGTGATAGGCACTTCTAAAAGATCACAGGGTGGGGAGGCTGCAGCATCAGCAGACAAGGAGAATGGAGGAGGGGAAGAGGTGGATCCCTCCTCTGCTGCTGCTGCTGCTGCTGCTGCTGCTGCAACATCTCTGGATCTCGATGAACTTGTTGGGGGAGATGAGGACATCGCCTTTGAACAAGAGCTCAGGAGAGACCCTTATCAAGTTAAGGTGTGGCTTGCCTATTTAAAGAGCAGAGCAAAGGCTAAGCCAGCTATTCGGTACGTCTATCTTTGCTTTCTTCTCTCACATACACCAGAGTATACACTGTACATACAGCCGTTTATATTTTGATTTGCTGTTGCTTTAAACAAGGGCTTTAGTGGGGCTTTCGCTTATACCTTAAAGAGCAGCAGCACCCTATCAATACATTCGTATTGATGTTTATTTCTTCTGAAGGTTTTGTTCTGCTGCCTCTCTCTCTCTCTCTCTATGTCTCCGTTTTTTTTTGTTTTTTTTCTTGTTCTTTGTCTCTGTCTCCGTCTCTGTCTTTTATCCTTATCATTATTTGCTTCGACTGCCCTCTCATTTGATTTCTTCCTTTACTTCTTTTTTTTTATTTTTGTTAGGTTTGTTATATATGAACGAGCAGTTAGAGCTCTTCCAGGGAGCTACAAGCTTTGGCGTTTATATCTTTTGGAGAGAGTTGCATTAAGCAAGAATATAACAAAAGGAGACAGTTTTTATGCACAAACAAACTCAGCATTTGAGCGATCTCTTGTGCATCTCTCTCGCATGCCAGAGATATGGAGAATGTATTTAGCTTTTCTGCAGCAGCAGCAGCAAATAACTAAAACTCGTCGTACATTTGATGCTGCTTTAAGGGCTCTTGCTGTCACTCAACATGAACTACTATGGCCAGATATGATGGAATATGTTAAGGTAAAATCAGGGTCTAGGGTCTAGGGTCTAGGGTTTAGGGTTTAGGGTTTAGGGTTTAGGGTTTGGGAGGGTGAGGAGGCCGAGACTGCGGTGTGTGCTGATGTTGTTTTGTTGTTTGTTCATTGTTTTTTTCTGATTTTTATCGTATTTATTTATTGTTGTTTGTTTATTATTAATAATATCACCATTCCTGTTTATTATTATTGTTATTTATTGTTGTTTTTTAATTGTTTATTCATTAGTATTATATGTCATTCTTAGTTGTTATTTATTGATGTTTATTATTTTTATCCTTTTACTGTTATTAATGGTTGTTTATTATTTTTTATCTTTATTGTTATGAATGATTTACAAGAGTTCTTCAATATCTAATAAAGTTTAAGATTATTATATATGTAGTATCGAGTATTATTATTTGTGTTTGTATTTATTTAATAACATTTATTTCTGTCTGTATTGATTTATTTATTTGCGTTTATTATTATGTTCATTATTATTTATTGCTTCTTTGTTTGTATTTATTTATTAGTGTTGTGCTATGGCTATGACTGTCTTATATACTTCGAGTGTATTGCTGATAATTGTTTAGAGTTTTTCTTCAAGTATTTATTAAAATAAACTTTATTATGTATATCGCTATACTTTACTCTGCTTTGTTTCTCTATTATATATATGCATATATTTATATATTATATATTATATATATAAGACAAACAAAAATAAGAGAAGAAAGATATTTTATGATTAGTTGTTGTGTGAAAGAAACAAAGTAGAATAAATATAGCCAGATATGAAAAAATAAACTATAATTTCTTGCATCATATAATATAATATAATATAATATAATATTATATTATATTATATTAAATTATATTATATTATATTGTATTGTTTTGTTTTGTTTTGTTTTGTTTGCAGAAGTGCGGGGTAGCAGAGACAGCAATTTGTTTATATCGGCGCTGGATAATGATTGAGCCTGATCGCGGTGATGAATTTGGGTTATATTTAAAGAGCATTGGGAGATATGATGAAGCAGCTAGCCAGCTAGCTAGAGTAGCTAGCGATGCATCTGTATTTCCTTTATCAGGGCGTACAAAGCATGAGATTTGGCTAGAGTTATGTAGACTTGTTGCTGCACACCCTGATGATATTCATTCATTAAGAGTTGAAGATATATTAAGAAGCGGTATTGCTCGTTTTTCTGATGCTGTTGCTTCTCTTTGGTGCTCACTTGCATGCCATTATGCTAAGATCGGCCTCATCGCTAAAGCAAGAGATATATATGAAGAAGCTGTTTCTTCTGTAACAACTATTCGCGACCTTACTCTTGTTTATGAATCTTATGCAGCATTTGAAGAATCTATAGTCACTCAGTTGCTGCAGCAGCAGCAGCAGCAGCAGCAGGATGGGGAGCTGCGGGGCCCTGCTGCTGCTGCTGCAGCAGCAGCAGCAGCAAAAGAATTTGATTTTGCTATTGCACGGTTAGAAAGGTTAACAGAGCGAAGACCCCTTCTTATCTCTTCTTGCAAACTTAGACAAAACCCTCACAATGTTCATGAGTGGCTGGCTAGGGCAGAACTTGTTCAAGACGACACCAAAAAGGTAATATTAACACCCTTGCTGCTGCTGCTGCTGCTGCTGCTGCTGCTGCTGCTGTTGCTGCATTTGGTTTCCTGGTGTTTGTGCAGCTTTAGCTGTTGCTGTATTTTCTGTTTGTTTGTATTTTTTATTGTTTTGTGCGTTGTTGCTGTTTGATATGTGCTGCATTTTCTCTGCTGCTAATACTGCTGCTGCTGTTGCTGCTACTGTTGCTGCTGCTGTTGCTGCTGCTGCTGCAGGTGGTGGAGACGTTTACTGAGGCTGTAGCTACAGTGGAGGCAGACAAAGCTGTTGGACGCGTTGGTATATTATGGATTGCATTTGCGCGTTTCTATGAAGCACACGGAGATATAGAAAGTGCAGCAAAAGTATTTGAACGGGGTGTACAGGCAGCTATGCGTACAGTTGATGATTTAGCGTCTGTTTGGTGTGAAGCAATTGAAATGCATTTAAGACATAACTTATTTAAACAAGCTCTTCAGCTAGCCAGAAGGTGCATTAGCAGCAGCAAAAGTGCAGCAGCAAATGATAAGAAGACCCCGCAAAGCCGACTGTATCGATCAGTCAAACTATGGGCCCTTGTTGCTGATGTTGTGAGTCTTCACGTCATTTAAAAGAGTATTAATATTAATTATCAATCTATATATATATGCATATATATATAATAATATTATTCGGGTGTATACGCCAAGCCAGTACACTCAACGTGGGAGTCGCAGTACGTATTCGTAGTTAGGCGTTTAAATGCGTACTACATACATATATAAATATATATATATATATATATATATATATATATATATAT